GCAAATCCACAAAGAACATTCTGTAAAGGGGCCAGTGCAAATAATTCATGTGCAAACCACTCTTTCAAAAACCAGCCCGGGTGGTTGGCTTCTATTTTTCTTTGGTCACCCCTCTTCGTTGACACGTCGTTGTCAAGGAGCGTTTCCGCACACTCGGGGTTTAAGTTTGGCATGTTTAGCACATGTGCCCTCAGGACCCGAACGCATTTCACAAAATGATTTGCACGCGTGTATGTATCAAAAAAACGGAATTAGTCTAAGCCTATGTCTTTTTAACCACACTAGATATATTATTCCAACGTGTGCCTATAGGCACACGTTGGAATACATGTGTGCATTTGGAAACACATGTCGCCAAAGGGGCAGACTAGCGCTAGTTCTTGGATTGTCGCGCAAGCAACCCTTTAGATTAAGCTTTCCATGCATGAACTTCTGAAAAGCGCCACAGTGGCAGAAATCTGCTCTGGCTGGCTGTAAGTTGCCACTTGTCACGCCGATAGTTTTTTTTTGCCACTACGCCTTCCCAGGCACCACGCTTTGGCCACCTCCACCTTACACACTTTGACAACAAGAACTTGGCATTTCGCCTCACGTTCGCGCACTTGACTTGCACGATCTCCGCAGAGGGGTGTCGCATGGACAACAGAATTCGCAATTCGCCTCACTTTTGAGCACTCGACGCGGGCAATTTCCGCAGAGGCCGCAGAGGGCTCAGCGCGCAGACAAAAATTCGCGTCTCGCCTCATGTTCGCGCACTCAACGCGCACGATCTCCCGCACGCCGCGCGCAATCACTTTTCGCGTATTACTACAGTTTCGCGCGATCTCCACAGACGGGCCAAGGGTTGCGTTTCGTGAGCGCCGGCCCGCGTTAAGAATATGCCCTTTTGCCTTTTCGTCCCCAACACACACACCCCCCAACGCTGGCGCCAACGCCTATCCCAACTACATCTCACCCTCAGACCTACCACTACTACGACGATTTTTCCTATGCAGTCTACCTCAATCTTCAATGCAACCAGCACCCTACCAGACACCAATACCACCAATACAGCCACGCGCGCATAGGTTCCACCAGCATCGGTATCTCCAAGTGCGAGCTCAATCGACACGCCAAGCTAAAGCAACTGGCCAACAATCACCCCATCTCCGCAGAACTGTCTTTGAGGTATTGGCACTCCACCAACAACCTTCACCACTACAGTACTATATACCCTTCCTACCGCATCAACTATGATGCCACCTGGATTCGCGAACACCTCCACATACAAGACTGGCAACCTACACTCAATTTACACCACCTCTATTCCAACACCTGTACCACCTGCATCTCAACACCCGCATCACCTGCATCTCAACACCTGTATCACCTATACCTCCACACCTGTGTCTGAATACCTGTACCAAAATAACTGTATTTATGTAGGTGCGATATACCAAGGTGTTGCCCCTACTGCATCTAGCGCTCAGGCCCTAACTCCCACCTTGCTGCAGGGCTAGTGCGGTCATGTGGATTTGCACCCCATGGACACTGTGAATCTTTTTCGCCACTAGCCTACCTGCAGCTCGTCACTTGCGCTATCTCATCCAGTTCTTGGACATTTTGGCCTTCAACTTCCTTCACTTACTTGGTGAACTTTTTGCACTACCAGGTCACCACTTCTACCTGCAAGCAACGCGCTTGGCCTTCGGGACTGGCTCTCCACCTACTACTGGGCCTTCAAGGAGCACTAGCCAGGGTCCCAAGTTCCTGGCCACAGCGGCGCTCTGTTCTCACATCTTCCTCCACCACATGAACTTCAGCGTGAGAGCAGATGCCCTCGGTGGAAGCTCGAGAGGTGGATCTGCCACAAGATCTGGGAGATCTTCTACATGTTTGGCTCTACATGGAGAGCCTTGCAATTTACTCCGCCAACATCTACAATTTCACCTGGAGCTCACAATGGCGAGCTGAACTCTTGAACCAACGCGATCAACTTCTAGCGGGGCTTCCAAGACAAAATGTTCTTGTGAGAGGCCTGGAACACCAGTTTCGTTGGCCTGGCTGACTTCCAACGCCAGCAACGAGGCACTCAATCCAGCATTGGCTTTGTGATGGTCAAGCAAAAATCAAGTGACCCCGTAACCAAGAAGCCCACCTACTTGAACCTCTTGCCAGCGCAATCTGGGCGCGTGAAAGATCACGTCATCTTCAACATTCCCTACAAACGGAGCACTTCAGAAGAGGACAAAAGATCGTCCAGGACTTATTGGCAATGGGCCAACAGCCATCATGGCCTCCCACTACCTGATAGATCCTCCAAGTCTTTCTCCACCTCATTTCTCCACAGGGTCCTTGGCAAATGGATGAAGGCAGCCCGGATTCAGAAATGGAGAAGGAGGCTCATCGTAAAGCACATAAAGGTCAAAAACAGAAGCTTCAGGGTACGAGTGAACAAGCCCGACAACAGTGGATGAAAAATGAGACCCGCTACTACTTCAAAGCGGTGAATTAACTGAAGCTGGCCTCCCTTCTTTTGAAGAGGCAGATGTCATTAAGGAACTTCAAGGTCCACTGCAGGGCCAGCGTTTGGAAGGACGTCGCTCTGGCTTTAGGATCTTTTCTGACGAAGTGGCTGGAACACTGGATTGCCTTGAAAACAATTCCTGCAGAATGGAGGAAAGGCGGCTTTTGTACTCCTACCCAAACCCTCCAAGCCACCAATCGAACCAAAGGCTCTTCGTCCTATTGCACTTCAAACTCCGGTCACGTCACTTTTTGTACACCAGGCAAAAAAAGCAACATTGAATCAGTTGGTCTGGTATCCTCAGTTTGCATATTTGCCTGGCCGTGGCACTTGGGAAGCAATCACTCGTGTCCAGGCCCATCTTCGTGCCATGCAACAACTGACTGACAGGTGGAAGTGTGAGGCTAGCAAGATTCGTTCCCCAGCTGACAAAAAGCCAGCCTTGTATGGGGGATGTCAGTTGTTCCTGACTTTCAGGCGCCTTCGACGCTATGCGCAGGGAATTTCTACAACAAGCTTTCTCCCTGGTTGGACTCCTGGTGAACTCACACAGGTACTGATGCACTGGCACACTCAGACCTCGTACATTGCCCAATGGAAAGGTCTTGCAGGTGAACAACCTACCTTCAAAGGAGTGCGTCAGGGCCCTTTTCTCTGGGCCAGCTTCATTGCCTTGGCGCTCGAGTTAGTGGCACAAGAGACCACGGCACACTGGATGAGGCATCACTGCACTGTTGCACAGACGATGGTCATGCTTGCTTGCTGTGTTTTCATGATTTTCATGCACTTCAACAAGGTCTTTTCTGCTTTGGGAAACCTATTTCTGTATTGGAAAGGCTGGGCATGACCGTGAACATGGGCAATTCAACCACCATGATTCACTGGCGTGGAGTACAGTCGTTGGCCACCAAGCACTTCGTGAAAAGGAAGCTTCATCACTCAGTGTTGCGCATTCCATCGGATTCATCACAGTTTTTCGAGATTCCAATTGCTGAGAAGCACGATTATTTGGGAGTTCAAGTTGGGTACAAGCAACCACTTCGGAACACAATGCAGCGCAGATTCTTGCATCATAAGCAGATGAAACAATGGTTCAACAAAAACCCCCTTCACCGGGCTCAGAAGCTGTCACTGTGGCTCAAGTGTTTTTCCTACAGCGATTTACGGTCTTGAGTTGACAACACCACAATCCCGTGTTTTCCAAGACTCCCCATCCTTTGCTGAGACAGGTTGCTGGCAATCATCCTTTTTGACGCACCAAACTCACATTGTTTTTTGAATCAACTACTGCAACATCCAGTTCACCTTCTTCGGGAGCAGATGGCTGCCCAGTTGACACGCCATGAGGCCAGGAGTGCTTCTCTCACTCCAGGTGACATTCTTCAACATCTTGACACACAAGGTCTTCAACAATCCCTGAACCTTGTTTCAGCCTGGCTTCAGGAGCTAGGCTCTGCCAAGATGGAGCGCTCACTTCCGCTGGCGCAATGTCTGTGGTCAACCCTTTCAGCAACAATACACACTTCGTCGTCATGAGCTCTACACGCATGGTATCATGCATCCACTTGGGCCCTCCTTGGACCTAGCCAGAGACGCTACGATGCTGGAGACATAGAACCTCACCATCTTCCTGACATAATCATGCAGAATGTCTGCATCCTATGGTTGGCGTGTGACCCCCATCAAGGAGCACAGATGGTCACTCTGGACGACGAGCAGCCGGAGAACTGGAAGCCACTGCCCGCCCAGCCTGGAGCAGATGATGAATATCAGGAGTGAGCCTCCGGCATCCTGTGAGTGGAAGGAAGACTGAGTGGCCCATTGCAGTAGACTTGGTGGACACCACACTGCTCTGGTAGCATCCAGATCTGCCACCGACCTTCCACCCACTGCATAGAGCGCAATGAGGCTCCCAAGGACATCCTGCAGCACCTGAGCTCTGGCAGGATTCAGAACTTTTGGTGGAAACCTTCACGGCGGCCTATGAAAAGTTGTACTCATCCAAGCCTTGCGCGTGCCATCCATTCCGTGTCACAGCCGAGGCTGCAAATTTTGAAGACCACTGGGCGCTTCTTCATGTAATGTGGAGGAGGCAGCAACGCTCGATTGCAAAGCAAGCAATCACGTTGGGCGAGCTGCTCACCGAGTGGGCCTAAGGTACCACGGTACAATGGAGCGGACTGTCGCCACTGTGCACAGGTCCACGCGGATCTTCTTGACTGAAGAGCGTAGAGAGAGAGAGAGAGAGAAAGAAAAACACAAAAAAGATGATGACAAATCCATTGAGATGATGATCCTGAATGTGATTTCAATGATGATGATAAAAATGATAGTTGGACAGTTGAAGTTGGTAGCAGTTCTTGAAGGAGAACCCTTCGCAGGTGCTTTTGGAAAAAAATATCAAAGTGTGTCGATGTGTGTGTGTGTGTGCGTGCGGTGTATGCATGGGGGGCATCTGACTTGTTCAAGGCTGATCGCCATGCCCCCGGATATCCTCGTGATAGCTCTTGACCCACTCTTCCGGACCTTGACTTGCGCTTGCCAAGTGACACATGCAGTGCAATACCCCAAGCGTCGCACAGTCATCAGCCATAGGCGAAAAGTATTCCAGCAAGGGCTCTCGGCAATTGACCTGACTCACCAGCTTGGCCCAGCTTGGCTTCTTCATGCTGAGCGTCCCTTCAGGCCAACACCCAGGCTGCACGCAAAAGTTGCACATCACGGCCCCCAGCGCCTCCAGAGAAACAAGCACCCAATTGAAAGAGTAAGAAAGTTGGCATGAGTGACCTGCCGAGCATGTGATGGAATGATATTGATATCTAGATGTATGCATCATATATATATATATATATACTGCTTGACCTTGCTGACACGGAGGGGCCTCTCATTCCCTCACATCAACCGCCTGCAGAGTCAGTAGCAAAAGGGAGCCAGGAAGGGTGGTCTGCTTGCAAGTAGTCCTGAGCCACAAGCAAGGCCAAAGATTTGAGGCACATGAGTCGTAGTTTCATGCCACACCTCCAGTTTTCGCCAAACGCCATCACGACACTCGTACCTGTCATTGGAGGCACTTTCAATAGCATGTTGTGAGCGAAGGAAGCACCGCGAAGCTCTGGAGCTGGCGCACGTTCCCTCCCGCGTGTCACAGCTCAAGCAATGATGGAAAGATGGTAGCCCTGTGCGGCGGTCCATCCACCTGGGCGTTAAGCGAACAATTGCCGACATTACGACGGCCTAGACTCCACGACAGTGATCCAAAAAATCGTAGGAAAAAGCATCCTGTCACAATATGTGCATCAAAGTGTCCCATGGAATGCCGGAAACAAGTGATGCGCCTGAATTCATGCGTGCAAAACATCAAACGGTCCATTGCGTTCCCCAAGTTCCACAAAATGACTTGATGCCTGCAATCCACAAACACTGCCTAGATTTGCCTTGCAACGGTGTTCAACTTCTAAGTGGCGACTGAGGCCTTTGCGCAATGGTGCCGCGAATGCTCACCGACCTGCAAGAACCCTGTATTGAACTTCATGCACTTGAGTTTGCGATGCTTGAACGCATGTAGCATGCAATGTGGAGGCGTGGGCTGCAGGAATGCGACACGTACAACTTCGCCAGTTGAACTCATTGCTAAGCCAGGTAAAATTGCTCTTGTACTGTGATGGGTTCTGTACTGTGATATGACTTCCGGCATGATTCGGCGACATTGCCGCAACATTTTGCTTTCCCAACGAGGCATTCAGCCATCTGTTCGCTCAGAGGCTTCACCAGCTTCGCATGCAACTGGGTAAATGTGGAGGGTTGCAGAAAGGAGGTGACTTGAAAAATCCCCATGACCTGGCTGTGGAGAAGCAGGTGAAGGCCTTTCACACCCTCGCGGAGACTTAGCATGTGGGCCCATGGCGGCCTTGCAGGCATACTTGGAAGACATGCAGTGGGACCTCAGTGACATGCATGAGTGGCGCAGGCCAAGCATGCTTACATGTACATTGGGCATCCATGGCCAGCTTTAAACAGAGCCCTCCAAATTGAACTACGGCTTCAGCAGGCAGACCGGAAAAGTCCTATGAAGAGGAGCTTGCCTATCCCGTGGACTGGATCATCTACAAAGTAGTGCCTCAAGAAAGAAGATCAGCAAACCCGGAATGCCCTGAAGGCCTGGACGCAGGGTTCGCTTCGCACTCATTCCCACAGTCAGGCAGCTCGGTGTCCGTTGCGTGATGAGCAGGCCAATGTGGTGCATCTTAGCTGGCTCTACAAATTCTTCAAGGACAAAGAGCCTTCCGTACCAGAGAGTTGGGCCGTCCAGATTGAGGCAGGCAATAGCTTGGAGCTGTGGGGAGGGGGTTGAGCGATTGAGCTACCCCCTGATCCACGTCCTGAAGAGAGTGAGTCTTTTGTCTGTGAAAGACTGATGACTGAAGGATGGCCCATAAGACTCCTGCCCAGTCAACATGTTTTTCTGAGCGTCAAGGCCACCACCAGTGAAACGAGGTTTCGCAAATTTGTGGTTGCTGTCCTCATTGGCACCTGGCAAGGGGATTGCTTGTCAATGGTTCATGCACCTGCATCAGGCAGCCTGGGCTGCCTAAAACAAGAAGGGCAAGGCAGCCCACATTGCGGATTTGTGGCACAATCTTGGAGAAGCAGAATGCCAACGGTTGCAAGCCTGCCGTGTTACGGTCAAGCAGGTAAAGGCCAATGGTGACCTGAATAGAGCGCTCCAACAGCGCTTGCAGGCCAGTGACATGGCCAAGCAGCGAGCGCTGAGAATGAATGTCGAGCAGACAGGCTAGAGGCCCTGGCACACTGACATCTACCAGTTTGCCGCTGAGAGAGTCAAACTTCTTTTGAGTGACAAGTCCCACTTCATGCATAGGGCATAGGCCTGGGGCCGGTCTGTCAGTGAGAGGGGGGGACCAACCCAGGAAAATGGGGGGCCATGCTGAGATCTTTCGGAAGCTCACCCAGAGGGCGGAGGATGGGAACCTTCGCCAATGGGAACTCTTCAAGAGTGGGGTAAGTGCTGCCATGTTCCACCCACCAAGATCCAGGCGAAGGCTGACTCAAGGATGCGTTGAATCGGATGGTTGAAGAAACGAATGAGGCCCAGGACGAACATTGTTGGAAGCTCCTGCTGAGCTACATCAAGTGTGACAGATGTTGGCCGAAATCCGAAACTTTCCAGAAGGTGCAGCAAGGAGGCCCTATATGCATCGGTTGAGGGGTGAGTGGTGTGTCAATGAGAACCAGTTGTGGCACAGCATCTTGAATACCAGAGGTGCCGGAAGACCAGCCCGCTTGCAAAGGGCAAGAGGTTGGGATGGCTCAGCGTCGTGTGCAGCCCTGGCCCCAGATATATTCAATACATCCTGTTTTGGCTCCGGGTGCCAGAAATGCTAAGAAATCCGAAGGGCATCGCCAGCATTTTGCTGTGCAGCTGACACTTGCCGCTTTTGGCCTACAAGGCCGCAGCATGAGCATGGATGGTTGGAAAGAACAAAAAGTAGAAAAGGAAAAAAAAAGATACCGGAAACGGCAAAAAAAATGTGGATAACAACAACGGACAAAGGGAAAGGAAGAACCACAAAATGGGATAAGAAAAGGGTGTACTTTTAATTTGTGAGTTTTCACTTTTTCGGGATTGTTTCAAAATCATTGGAATAGAGCAGGTTTCTTATTATATAGTTCCTAGCTAATTACAGCAAGTTTGTCTCCTTGGCAGAGACACAAGTGTCGTAGCTGGCCCAAAGCATTGGAATAGTGCAGGTTTCTTATTAATTGCTAGCTGATTACATTAATGTGGGAGCTGTCGCAGCTGGCAAAATACATTGGAATAGTGTAGGTCTCAAAGAAATTCCTACCTATCACAACAGATTGGTGCAGTTAGCAAAGAAAGAGCAAAGAGAAAGAGAACTAGCACAGAGACATATTTGGTTGGTTAGAAGGTTTTGGTGCGGGGAGTTCACCTTAAAATATTGACTTCGTGGTAGGTGCGGGTGTCGGAGATGAAGTGCAGATTTCGTGGTGCGGGGGGGTTGGGGGGGGCGGAGCGCCCCAGCACACCAGATCCAAAGGTGATCAGCTCATGCTTGCTTGCTTGCTTGCTTGCTTCCTAAACTGCACCAAACTGCTGTGATAGGTAGGAATACACAAAAAGCAAATAGATCAACAAAGCAAACAAATGGAAAAGCAAAAAAATAAAGAAGAGAAAGGAGAACAGCTGCCAAAGCAGAAAAGCAACAAAAGCAAAGAGCAGAAAGACAAAAACACAAAAAGCAGAACAGCAACAAAAGCAAAAAAGCAGCAGAAGCAGAAAAGCAACAAAAGCAGAAAAGCAGCAAAAGCAGAATCCAAAAAAAATAGTAATAATAATCCCGATAAAAAAAATGCCCCTCCATAAGAAAAGGACGAGGACATGGAGGGCAGAGAGAAATGGAAAATGAATGGACAAAGGAAGAAGGAAGCTTCAAACTCAGAGCCGCGCCAGGTCGCATTTGGATCCACAAAGTGGGCATCGTTCAGAGCACCCACGAATCAAAGACCAGGCTTGGAGAGATTGCTCTCGAAGCGCCTGCGCCACAGGATCCAAATCCAAGCAACCTGAAGCACAACCAAAGCTGCCAAAGCTCATCAAAGCACAGCCCCAACACCTTCTGCAGCTGCTCGGACAACCGCTTGGGTATCTCACGCGAGTCCGCAAAGTCGCTGATGCGTGCCTGGCAAAATGTGAAGAGTAAAAAACATTGCGGGAATTCTGTCCTTTAAGAAATGCCTGCAACGTCTCCGCAAAAAGTTTCGGATCTGCAATCTGAAAATCGGCGGTTGCGGGCAGGCGTTCAGCCAGCTGGCGATGAGCCTGGAGCTAGCAGCTAGCAAAAAATGTTGACCAAAACAATTTGCACGAATTGCTCCTACTGTGCAAGAAATACACAAGCATCCTCAGCAAGGTCGGCATTGGTGGGCACGTGCTCAGCATGAATTGAGATGAAATCCTGGGCCACCAACCTTTGCAACCACTGATGCCTAGAGTCCTAGTCAGGATAGTGGTTGAGCTAAAAATGCGGCACCCAGTCCTTTAGTTCTTTGATAGACCTTCTTGAGCTGTCAGTGCGTCCATCTCGCCCCTGCTCAACAGTAACGTGCTTGATTCAATCATGTCATGTTATCCAAGTTAAGCATTCAGCCATCGTAGGCCTGTGAAGCCGTAGCTATGTCCACTTTCTCTGCGGGGCATACCACCTTTCTAGCCCACTCGCCAACTACCTTAGTGATGCCGACAAATACGTCAGAATCAAGGCCCATTGGGTTGAAATTTGCTGGGATTGTATCTGGCAACGCTACTAGGAGTAGGGGGCTACTAGTAGCTCCTGGCCTTACTACTAAGAGCAAGGAGGCTACTAGGGGCTCCTGGTCCTTTTTAGCTCCTGGCCTTCTGCTCTTACTACTAGGAGCTAGGACGCCACTAGGGGCTCCTGGCCATACTACCAGTAACAACAAAGCTACTATTCTTCGTTATGTCTTTTTTTAAGCATGTGGTTCCTTCTTGTTTTAATGTTTTCGTTTTTTATCTATCCTTTTTTTGCTTGCTACCCCCCCCCCCCGAGCAAGGGGCTACTAGTAGCTCCTGGCCTTACTGCTAGGAGCAAGGACGCTACTAGGGGCTCCTGGCCATACTACCAGTAACAACAACTACTATTATATAATTCTTTCTGTATGTCCTTTTTTAGCATAGTTATCCTTTTATTGTTTTTTGTAATTTTTTCGTTTTTTTTGCTTGCCCCCCCTAGGAGCAAGGGACTACTAGTAGCTCCTGGTCATAGTACTAGGAGCAAGGACGCTACTAGGGGCTCCTGGCCTTACTACTAGTAACAATAAAGCTACTATTCTTTCTTTTCTTTGTTTTGGCCCGCTCCCCCCCTCCTAGGAGCAAGGTGCGTGTGTGTGTGTGTGTGTCCAACCCTGGACAAAGGGTCTTCCACCACCACTCTTTCCATTTTACACAGGCAGGGGCGTGTGGCCTTCTTGTCCTACCACACGCAATGAAGCTATGGACAAGAAGGGGAAGCAGGGACTGATCATCCCTGTGTACCTGCTCGTTTCTCCACAAGCTGTTACTCCAATTTTCCATTTTTTGATTCATGGTCGTTTGCATGATACTTCCCACAAACCTATTCGTCCCCAGCAGCTGCGCCGCCGGTTTGCTTGCTGCCGTCTTTGTGACAACAATGTTAAACCTTTCAAGTGCTCGGACCCATGCACCTTTCTGTTCTCTCACCTTCCTTCCCAACCTGACTTGCGTTAACTGAAAACCCAAGTTCGAAGTGTGTCCTGCTCAGCCGTCCCACTCGGGTGCTGAGTGTGATCCCCGTCACAGGGGCGCCGATCTTGCATGGGAAAGCAACCGCCCCAACGCACCACCGCTCACTGGACTCTCACAGGAAGGCACCGACACCCTCACAGAATCAACCGCCACACCGGCCGCCGGGCCAAAAAAACGGTTCTTGAAGAAT